CCCCGAACGTCCCGGAGGAAATCCCCCCCCCCCCCCCGTTTTGTTCATTTGGCTCACTACAGTTCAGGACTCAATGTCACGGTCCTATATCTTAATCTCGCAAAGTGCAATTCAAGACCGATGAAATCATCAAAGAGTCCACAATGCAAATCGTTTTTTGAAACAATTTTTTGTAAAGAAGTGCCAAACATGGACTGCTTTGCCAGATACAGAGTCGCCACCTAAATATTTTATTTGGGGAAATTTAGGAAACCCTGACTCGTTGCCTAAGGCCACGTGTCCGTCATCACCAAAGTTGCCTCGGCTCGGGAACTTGGGTACGATTGGGGAAGGTCACTTCGTGAGCACCCCCGCTCGCCCGATCAAAGATCGGCCTCTACTAACCATGATATCTAGTTTTGAAAACATTATACGTTCTTATTCCGGTTATTAGCCTAGATTTACTATGTGACGCGCACAGCATACAAGTATAGACTGGGTCGCCTGAATTGGAACGAAACATCTCACGTTCGTTTTAAAAAACGGTTTGCTACTCGCAAGTAGGCTAAGACATGGATTTGCCACCCTCAGGTGGGCTTAGAAAGCATGATGATTTGCCACTCTCAAGTGGGCTTAAAAACTCGCAATTGATGAATTGTTCCAATTCAAATAACCCAACCTTCACTCACAGGCATTCAGACAGTTATATCATGTAAGCAATTAGCCTCATGGTAAGCATGCTATCATGGCAGTCACCCACACACATGCAAGGATGCTAAAGCATAAAACTTACCGAGTACTCCAAGCCAAAACAGAAGCTATGTTAGAAATCCATGCATGATCCTAACTATACAGAAATGCCTAATGCAACACATGTAAAAATGCAACTACAATAGGCTCGGCTATTCTAAAGATGGCATATGAAATGCTACAACTAGTAAGTATTCAACTTGGAATTGAAATACAATGCAGTTAGTATGATGCGCCGAGCCTGGTGCATGCGAGACAGATGAATGAATACAAACATGTTATCATTCTGTATGCTAATTGAAACATGTCCTAATCTAACCATCATAAGTTGGTAAATAAAAAGGGAGAAAGACGTGGGGTTGGAAGACATATATCACACTCACACACACTTTATTACAATTGTGCCCTCGCTCGGAGGGTCCGAATAAATAATACAGTCTGAATGAATAATACAGTCCGAATAAATAATTAAATATTACAAAACCCTAATTAATTAACAAATTAACTAGGAAAGCGATAAATCAGCATGCAAGCCTATGGACTGCCTCAGCTCTGTTCCGAATGATGGGAGATGCATGCTTGAGTTGCCTGGTGTAGAAATCCATTGCGATGCCCCGATTCGCCTCTGTTTGCAATTGTTTTCGGAATGCTGTGCAAGGCTTTAGAAAGCTGCTGATTTCTAATTTGCTGCAACAGAGAGCAAGAAAGGGGCATAGCAAAGTATTTTCACATATGTATGTATGACTACTCTTCAGGGAGTGTAATCCTCGATCCTCGTGCCACCAATCACGCATATCGATGCATGATGGCTGAGGAGTCGAATTGCACGACTCAATAGGAGATGAATGCGCATGAAAACACAACAAGACCTAAACTTCATCATGGGTAATCCGGAGTGTCGGCGACAGGGAATTGAGACACGTTTCGTCACTCGGAGTACGAAACGTCTCTCGTTTCCCGTGCTTGGGCTAACTCCTATCCCAAACACAATGCAAATGAGATGGCATACACAATGCGACTAACATACAACCTAGCATACGCAATGCTACGAAATGGCATACACAATGCTTGATGCAACATGACATACACAATGCTCTAACATACAACCTAGGATACGCAATGCTATGAAATGACATACACAATGCATAATGGACTTACACCAATATGAGAGGACCTCAGCCACACTCACATCAGTAGCCATGAGATGAAAATGAGACAACCGAAATGCGTGCACACATGCACGCAAATCGAGGACCGAACCTAAGGCATTAAATGCCACTCTACCAAAGCATGGCAAGGATGAAGCATGGCATTCAAACATGCAATTTTCAGCACTGAAACATAATGCTAAATGGTCCCGAATCATGCAAACATGGCGCCCGACGCATGGAGTAAGCCCCGAAACTCAAAACTAGGCACATGTATTGACTTGTAGCTATACAAAGCATGCATTATTTGACCATGAAGCACAAAGACAGAGGCAAGGCAGTCCCAAAACATTAACATTTCTAGTTCAAAGCATGACCAAAAGATGCTAGCATGATGGACTAAAATAGCATGCAACTTTGACTAGCAAACATGGTTTACATGGCATGCATATGAAGCATATGAAATCTCACCAAACCAGAAAAAATCAGTGAATAAAACATGCCAAAATATGTCCAAATAATCACTGAAATGCAGCCAACATGTGCAAAAATGAGGGGCTCCTTTAGAGGGCCAAACAAGGGGTAATTAAGCACATGCATCAAGGACACTTAGCATGGCACAACCAACTTTGGAAATTAAATATGACAATCCTAAAACTCACCAAATTGACCCTGAAATTGGTCTAGGGAACATGCAAAGAAAGGCCTCTTTGAAGGGCCTTGAATGGGATTGGTCTACACATGCAACGTAGACCTAAAATATGGTGAAATGGGCCTCGGACAGAGCCAAGGCAGACCTCAAAACCCTCAGAATGAGGCTTGGAAAGTGACTTCGATGCATGAAAAATGGGGTCCCTTTGGGAGGCCCAAAAGATCCCCAAACAAAACAAGGAGAGAGGGGGTCACCCCCCTCTAATTTTGGCCCTCAAAAATGCATCAAAGCCACTGAAAATCCGCTAGATTTTAGTGGCTAAGAGGCCAAACCATGGCCAATGCAAGTGCTCTAATGCATGGCCCTAATCATGAAGGAATGAAGCATGCATAGGGGAAGATGACCCCAAACAGAGAATAGACCTTAATCAAACATAAAGATGATATCAAAACAAGATTTTTTTTAGTTTAGGCCGAGGTCTAAAATGGCTCACAAATAAGGCTAATGTATCATGCAAAAATAGCCCTAAAAGAGAGATAAAGGGAAAGGGGCAGTAGATGGCCTCAAACAGTAAAGAGCCCTTCAAAAAAGTTGAAGAGGGGCTCAAAATAAGATACTTTACAGGTTATGGAAAATCTCGAATATGCTCACAAGTAAGGCTAAAATATGATGTAAAAATAGCCCTAAAAGAGAGATAAGAGGAAAGGGGCATTAGATGGCCTCAAACAGTAAAGAGCCCTTCAACAAAGTTGAAGAAGGGCTCAAAATAAGGTACTTCACAGTTTGGTTCGAAGCCCAAAAATACTCAAAAACAGGGCTAATATATCATGCAAGATAAGCCCCAAAAGAGGGATAAAGCACAAAGGGGGAGTAGAAGACCTCAAACAGAGAAACGTCCTTAATAAAACATGAAGATGAGCTCAAAATAAGACTATTTTTAGTTCAGGCCGAAGCCCAAAAATGTAAGAAAAATGAGATAAGATATAGAACAAAATAGTGCAAAAATAGGGAGAATAGGAGCTTACCCTTGTAGCCTAACTTTCCAGCAGCCTTTGGTCTAAGGAAATGAGCTTTCAACCTCTGCAAATGATTTCCAAGGGGCTGGAATGGATGATGGTGGTGTGGTGCTATGGGTTGTAGTGTAAATGGACCAAGGAAGTTAGGGTTTTGGAGCTTGGAATAGTAGCAATGGAGGTGGGAGGTGATGAGCCTTAAGCAAGAGTGTCTAACCAGCTGAGATGAAGAGGAGGGCTTCTCTTATAGAGAAGAGAGGCCAAAGCTTCTCTTGGAAGCTTCAAAGATCCTCTATACACGTGTATGGAGGATGCACCAAATGATCTCCAGTTGGCACAGCTGGATTACACTCAAAGAGGGGAAAAACAATAAGCAGGCCAGCCAGTTCAAGTGGCCGGCCGACCACTCCCCCTGGTCGGCCGACCAGGGGTCAAAAGGTTCAAAAACAATTGCTGGTCGGCCTACCCAGAAAGGTGGCCTCCCAGATGAGTAGAACACAACATTGTGGAGAAAAACCAGAAAATGTGACATAGGAGAGAGAAAAGCTAGCTTTAAAGCAAGGTTCAAAAGGGTCAAAGAAGAATTACTGGTCGGCCTACCTATATTGGTGGCCTCCCAGATGAGCACAACACAATAGTAGCATGAAAAGTCAGAAATTGTGGCTCAAAAGTGAGAAAAGCCAGCTTTCTGTCAGAAAAACCGACTTTTGGAGAGAGAAAATGAGAAAATTGGCTTTTCAGGAGAAAAGGTGGCCGGCCACCATCCTACCACCTCCCTAGCAATGAAAGTAGGGTCCCTACCAAAAATGGACCAAAACGGATGCAAAACGAAGGTTCGGGGGCCAAAACGCGCGGTTCGGGGCCCTGAAAGCAGGCTGTTAGGCACCGGAAGTAGCGTATGACCACGAAGGTGGTCTCCCGGGCCACAGTGTCCCTCAAAAGGGAGAAAGCAAGGTGCGTGCCAAAAACCGGAGCAAACGGAGGTAGTTAAGCGGTCCTGAACCGAGGCACACGACCGACGACTCCGAAAATCAGAAATCGGGCTCCAAACGGGAAAAATGACCTACGACCACGAAACGTAGCCCACGGCCACTGAGAGATGGTCTATGAGACCTCTCCCTCCCTTTGGGAAGAGAAAATGGAGAAAACAGGACCCGGTTCGCAAACCGAGGCAAGGCACAAAAGAGCCCCGAAGTCCGGAGGCAAGGCTCGCAGCCGAGACTCTGAAACCTCAGAACGAGCACAATAAACCATTTTGAAGAATGTTTCCTATACCAGGATGGAAAAATAGTCACTACAATGAAGAGAGAGAGGGAGAGAGAGAGAGAGAAGCATAATTCTTACAGTTTTATCCCTCAACACATTGAAGGCATCCTTATGACACCACACTCTGCTGTGCTTTTTAGGTTCCTTTTGTGATTCCCGACGAACAATTTCCCTACCTATGTCTCTAAGCACTTAGTGCATTATCAGCTTGTTGTTATCTTTATTAACTTCTATGAGACCTCTATGAACGAGATTTTGAATACCAATTGTTATGGAGAAATCACATTCCTCTAGTATTTTAACTGTGTAATCTTTGTCCTGTCCAACAAAGAAACAAGCAATATCAAGGAATAAATTTTTCTCATGATCATCTAAAGAATCATAACTTATTTTAAGCACATTATGAATTTTCTCGGGAAAATGTGTTCTTAATTTTGCTAATGCACTTTCCCATACATCAATAGTTTCACCAGACAGAGAAGAGCCCAAGACTTCCAGAGCTAGCGGAAGGCCACCACAGTGGTGCATTACCATTTTTGAGTGCTCCATGTAAGCTTCAATAGGTTTGTCTTGTCCAAAGGCATGCCGACTGAAGAGACAGAGTGCTTCATCATCATTCAATTCCTTAACCACATACGACTTGTACACTTCATCAGCCTTTAGCAATTGCACATGTCTAGTAGTTATCATAATCTTACTTCCTGGATAAAGCCAATCTCGCATCCCCAATAATGCATTTACTTGGTCCAAATCATCAACATCATCAAGAACAACTAGAACTCTTTTACAGCACATAGCATCTTTAATCTTATTGATTCCCTTAGCAACACAGTAAATTCTTTCCTTATTCCACTTCAGAATATCTGAAACAAGTTGTCTCTGCAAACAAACCAAACCATTAGGTTGTTTTGCAGTTTCTCTGATATTTGCAAGAAAACTGCTACCTTCAAATTTGTTGAAGTTTTGGTTATAAACAATTTTTGCAATGGTTGTCTTCCCTATTCCACCCATCCCACGGATCACCATTACATTGACATTGTTCAACCCACATTGGAACCATAGATTAATGTCTTTTACATGAGAATCTATTCCAGTTTGATAGGGGGTAACACTTAAGACCATGAAATCCAATTTACTCACAATCTCTTGAACAATTATTTGGATAAACTTTGACTCATGCCTGCACATTGCGTTCAAAATAGAAACTAACCGAATTAAGCATGTCATGAACTGAGATGAGATGATAATTTTTGGGATTATTATAATTAAGAGAGTAAATTATACATCATAAAAGGTGGGGGGGGAAGGTTGTCTGCCTACTACCTCTCCCAAAACCTGCAATAAGTGGGAGCCTTGAGCGCTGGGAACAAACTTTTCTTTTCTTTTTAAAAGGTCTCCATGGTTAATTTAACCCTATAACTGCACCAGAAAGATCTTCCAAGAATTTTAGCATTTGGATTGGCGAAATGTTAGTGGTAAATTGCTATAAGATTTTAGGGGTTTGTAATGGCCGTAAGACAGGCTTGGAAAACCAGTCCAAATCCAACCAAGTATCTCAATGTAAAAGAGAACTTGTTTTTAATATAGAGGAATAGAGAGAGAGAGAGAGAGAGAGAGAGAGAGACACGGAGATCGACAGAGAGAGACCAAGATCGACGGAGATCGATAGAGAGAGACGGAGATCGATAGAGAAGAAATAAAGATCGACAGAGAGAGACCAAGATCAACAGAGAGAGAAAGAAAAAAACCTTACAGCAGCGGCGGTGGTGATTTGCAGCAGTGGCGATGTGCGACGGTGGCGTGCAACGTCGGTGAGCAACGGTGGCCAGCGATGGTTGGGTGGTGAGTTGGGGTGAGGTTTGGTGGTAACTACTCTTTGTGTGTGTGTGTGTGTGTGTGTGTGAGAACAGAGAAAGTGTTGGTGTGAAACAAAGAAGAGGGGCGCCAATGGTGATAAAATTTTCAACCTTTAGCGACTGAACTATTATTTGTCGATAAATATTAATCAATAATAACTAATCTTTTGTAGCTAAAACTATAATTTGGGTATTAAATTTTTTTTGTCGTCGCAAAAATTGAACATATGACGACTAAATTTTTTAGTCACCCAAAATTTATATATTATTTGTCCATATATATTAATCAATAATAACTAATCTTTTGTAGCTAATGTATAATTTGGCTATTAATTTTTTTTGTCGTCGCAAAAATTGAACATACAACGACTAAATTTTTTTAGTCACCAAAAATTTATATTTGCCAACAAAATTATTTGGTCAGCAAAGAGTAACCGAAAAATAAGCTTGTTATTTGGCAACTTAACTTCCTTTTATTGGCAAATAATTGTATACGACGACTAAAATAAGAATTAGTAGCCTAAAATTTAGACTTACGCTAACTAAATTTTTTTTAGTCACCTATTAACATCATATATAATGACAAAATTCATTTTTAAGTCGCCAATAAATAATACATATCCACAAAAATAATATAGTAGCAAAACATTGAACCAACGCCGACTAATAAATTTTTTAGTCCCCAAAAATATAACTTTTAACGACTAAATTCCTTTTGGTCGCCAAAAGTGTAATTTGTGAAATTACTTACACCTTTTGTGAAGAGTTACATCTTTTGTGAAATAAATTTTTTCATAAAATTTACACAATTTGTTGGAACTTACACCTTTTGTAAAAAAACTTACACATTTTCTGAAACGTTACACCATTTGTGAAAAATTTTCTTTTATAAAATTTACACATTTTGTTAAAAGTTACACATTTTGTGAAGAGTTACACCTTTTGTGAAATAATTTTTTTTCATAAAATTTACACATTTCGTTGGAATTTACACCTTTTGTGAAAACAAAAATTACACCTTTTGTGAAATTACTTATACCTTTTGTGAAAAAACTTACAACTTTTCTGAAACGTTACACCATTTGTGAAAAATTTTCTTTCATAAAATTTACACATTTTGTTAAAACTTACACATTTTGTGAAAATTTACACCTTTTTGTGAACATACTTACACCTTTTCTCAAAATTACTCATTTTTTGAAATAATTTTTTTCATAAAATTTACACCTTTTATTGGAACTTATACCTTTTGTGAAAATAAGACTTACACGTTTTGTGAAGTCACTTACACATTTTGTGGAAAAACTTACACTATTTCTGAAAAGTTATACCTTTTGTGAAATAATTTCTTTCATAAAATTTACACCTTTTGCTAAAACTTATACCTTTTTCTAAAAATTTACACCTTTTCGTGAAAATACTTACACATTTTTTGAAATATTACTCCTTTTGTGAAATAATTTTTTTCATAAAATTTACACATTTTATTGGAACTTACACCTTTTGTGAAAACGAAACTTACACCTTTTGTGAAGTGACTTACATCTTTTGGGAAATAACTTACACTATTTCTGAAAAGTTACACATTTTGTGAAATAATTTCTTTCATAAAATTTACACATTTTGCTAAAACTTACACTTTTTCTAAAAATTTACACATTTTCGTGGAAATACTTACACCTTTTTTGAAATGTTACTCCTTTTGTGAAATAATTTTTTTCATAAAATTTACACATTTTATTGAAACTTACACCTTTTGTGAAAATGAAACTTACAACTTTTGTGAAGCTATTTACATCTTTTGTGAAATAATTTACACTATTTCTAAAAAGTTACACATTTTGTGAAATAATTTCTTTCATAAAATTTACACATTTTGCTAAAATTTACACATTCTGAAAATTTACACCTTTTCGTGAAAATACTTACACCGCTTTCTGAAAAGTTACTCCTTTTGTGAAATAATTTTTTTTCATAAAATTTACACTTTTTCTTGGAACTTACATCTTTTGTGAAAACCAAACTTAAACCTTTTGTGAAGTCACTTACATTTTTTGTGAAATAACTTACACTAATTCTGAAAAGTTACCCTTTCATAAAAAAAAATTTCATAAAATTTACACCATTTGCTAAAACTTACACATTTTCTGAAAACTTTCACCTTTTCGTGGAAATACTTTTCAGAATTAGTGTAAGTTATTTTACAAAAGATGTAAGTAACTTCACAAAAGGTGTAAGTTTCGTTTTCACAAAAGGTGTAAGTTCCATTAAAAGGTGTAAATTTTATAAAAAAAATTATTTCATAAAAGGAGTAACTTTTCAGAAACGGTGTAAGTATTTCCACAAAAAAGTGTAAATTTTAGAAAATATGTAAGTTTTAGCAAAAGGTGTAAATTTTATGAAAGAAATTATTTCACAAAAGGTGTAACTTTTCAGAAATAGTGTAAGTTATTTCACAAAAGATGTAAGTCACTTCACAAAAGGTGTAAGTTCCAATAAAATGTGTAAATTTTATGAAAAAAATTATTTCACAAAAGAAGTAACATTTCGAAAAATGTGTAAGTATTTTCACGAAAAAGTGTAAGTTTTAGCAAAATGTGTAAATTTTATGAAAGAAATTATTTCACAAAAGGTGTAACTTTTTAGAAATAGTGTAAGTTATTTCCCAAAAGATGTAAGTTTCGTTTTCACAAAAGGTGTAAGTTTCAATAAAATGTGTAAATTTTATAAAAAAAATTATTTCACAAAAGGAGTAACATTTCAAAAAAAGTGTAAGTATTTTCACGAAAATGTGTAAGTTTTCAGAAAATGTGTAAGTTTTAGCAAAAGATGTAAATTTTATGAAAGAAATTATTTCATAAAAGGTGTAACTTTTTGGAAATAGTGTAAGTTTTTTCAAAAAAGATGTAAGTAACTTCACAAAAGGTGTAAGTTTCGTTTTCACAGAAGGTGTAAGTTCCAAGAAAATGTGTAAATTTTATGAAAAAAATTATTTCACAAAAAGAGTAACTTTTCAGAAAAGGTGTAAGTATTTTTATGAAAATGTGCAAGTTTTCAAAAAAGGTGTACGTTTTAACAAAATGTGTAAATTTTATGAAAGAAATTATTTCACAAAAGGTGTAACTTTTTAGAAATAGTGTAAGTTATTTCACAAAAGATGTAAGTGACTTCACAAAAGTGTGTAAGTTTCGTTTTCACAAATGGTGTAAAATCCAAGAAAATGTGTAAATTTTATGAAAAAATTTATTTCACAAAAGGAGTAACTTTTCAGAACAGTTGTTAGTATTTTCATGAAAAAGTGTAAGTTTTCAGAAAAGATATAAGTTTTAACAAAATGTGTAAATTTTATGAAAGAAAATTTTTCACATATGGTGGAACTTTTCAAAAAATGTGTAACTTCTTTCACAAAAGATGTAAGTATTATGTGTAAGTTGTCAAAAGTTACACATTTTTTAAGTAATTTCACAAAAGGAGTAAGTGTTCACAAAATGTGTAAGTAATTTCATAAAAGACGTAAGTTCTCAGAAAAGGTGTAAGTAATTTCACAAAAAAGCATAAGTTCTCAGAAAAGGTGTAAGTAATTTCACAAAAAAACGTAAGTTCTCAGAAAAGATGTAAGTAATTTCACAAAAAAGTTATAAGTTTTCAAAAAAAGTGTAAGTTTTCACAAAAGGCGTAAGTTTTTATAAAAAACGTAAGTTTTCCCAAATGGTGTAAGTTTTCAAAAATCACTTATGCATTTTTCTGAAATTACTTATGCCTTTTGTGAAGATTTACGTTTTTTGTAAAAATTTACGCCCTCTTGTGAAATTATTTACACTTTTTTGTGACAATTTACACCTTTAGTCATATAATATATTATTTTATTAATTTACTTGGAAAGTAACCTGCTTAGCAGGTCACCAATGCGTAAATTTTTAAATATTTTGGTATAACCCAATACAAAGAAAGGTGTAAATGCAAAATAGAAAGGTTGTAAGTGCCTTGCATACCATATGCAAGGCACACCTAAGAAAGGTCTTAAAAGAATCTTATGTTTTTGTCAATTTCATCACTCAAAGAATAGGGCATTTCCGTCCATGAAAAAAACACGACAACTTTATTAATTTTTTAAAAATACCATATTTATTTCTAATTTTGTTTTACATTTCCTATATAAATAAAAATAGTTGAAATCATTTATTAAACTCTTAATATGTGCTCTAAGGGCACATGATAACAAACACTGTTATTATTAGTTGAAGAAATAGTTAGAGGTTGTTTAGGATAACCTAAATAAGTATACTTTTTGTCTTTTTACGAAAAGATATGCAGAAAAGTAAAGAGGTGATG